ACTGCAACCGAACCGGGATCGGAACCGAACAAATACAGAACGGCAGTTTCGAAATCAATCTCTGTCCAACCCCTTTTCTACCATTGTGTATCCGCGCTGGCAACTCCTTCGGGTTCACGGGGAAAGCAACTCGTGTGACGCAGAAACCTTTGAAAGACAGCCAGGTGTTTGTCGTGCCTGCACAAAGGAAAAAAAAAATCTTGAACGGAAGAGGGAAAAAAAATATTTTTCCTCTTCCGGAGCGGAAAAAAAGTCGGTCACCGGGCGAGTTCGTTCCTCGATTTGACCCGACCATCCACATCTGGTAGATATTTCGTGTTACTTAAAAAAGTATTCAAAATCAATGGGCAGAATCAATTTTGGCAGGGAAATTAATATGTTGATTATTCTCGCAGACAAAAGAGTTTACGACAATTTCGAGCTACGCTTAATTTTTATTGCTTCACTGGGACTAAGATTCTCATCTGAATCCAAGAAGACGCATTTTTACGAGCATTTTACAGCTTTCCCAGGATATGATATATCACTTGAGCGACTTAGACAGGTGCGAGGTTAACCTAACCATGCGAGTGGGAAAGGTTAATTGTTGGGAGCGGAGGCGAGGGAAGGCGCATCCATGGGAGGTGCAAAGGAGGGAGAGAGAATAGCGTAGAGCCGTGTAACGTTGGCCGGGGTTCCGTGCGCTTTCGTCCGAAATTAGACGGTCCAAAAATAAGAGAACGGATGGTCGGGGGAGGGGGAGGTCCTTTGCCAGGAATCCCCCGACCACCTTCAGTCCTTTCCATCCCCTTGCTCCGTGCATACGCGCACTTCCCCTACTCTAACGTGTGAGTCCCCCGTATCCCCATTCGATCGTTCCATCGTTCGGGAGGGAACCGGTGTTGACAGACGTTCTCTATTATGGTCTCCAACGTGCCTGGAACAATTGGTCACGATTTGGGAAGGTTGGGCTTAAGTTGGGAAGGCTCACGTTGATAGGCAGGGTTGTGCGATCCTGGCTATTTTTTTATTTTAGAAAAAAATGGGGGAGGCGGGGACACACCAGACACCCAGTTACAGTAAGATGTTTTGGCTAAGTATAAAAGGTAGCTGCCTTAGAAGTTAAGATTCTTCTAAACTAGCAGTGCCAGAAAGTATTGGAACTTATCCAACGTGGAGGAAGAGATTCGGGTCCTTGAAGCCATCTCACTTTCTGAGTGAAATGGGATTTGCTGTCATGGGCATGAGACCTATAAGCTCAGGCGTGTCTGAGGGTTTAAAGGAAGATCGTACTAAACCAAGCTTTGCTGCAATCGAGATTGAATTACCACCGCAGACCTTACGCTTTATAAGCATTATATTAAACGTTACAAAAGCGTTATAAGCTTATAAGGGTTCGCTGGAAATAGCCTCATGAGATCAAGAACAATCTCGGGATTCAAGCGTTGGTGCTCCCAAACTCCGAAAGAAATCAATCGTTTCAATCGAAATCAAAGAATCAACGTTTCTGTCCGAATTTGTTATCATGCAAGAGCTACCTCGGGATATCTTTGCTGTAAGCCACGAAGATACTGAAAAGGAGGAATATTTACTGCCGCATTCTCATCGGCGTTCTTCAAGCTACCCTTTTTATCACTCTTGTTTCAACGAGCGTACTCATAGTTTAGTCTTATGATAACCTTTGCAAGGCTCGAAAGAAACAAATTTTCCTGGCATAATTATGAGGATGCCAAATGAAAAGTATTCGAGGACATAGGTGAGCATAGTGATGTCCTGAATACGAATTACGACTACGATAGTTAGCCTATACTGTAACTCCATAGTAGTTAGACATTGCAGATAATATTTAGGAAATGAGAGGAGTCTTGTCTTTCCGAGTTGAGGAATCCCCTTTAGAACCCTCACAGACTCGCTGAAAAGGTCGCTCACGGTCCCCGACGACTCAAGCGCGAAGAACTTTTGTTCGCTAGTCTCCGGATTTGACGGTTTTAAGTTTCATCACCAGGCTTGCCCTGTCAGGATTGGCAAACGACCAATTTTTTTTTTGGTTCAATTCGGATGCGCTAGATCACTCCGAGGATACTGGAAGGTCTCCCATAACGTGTCGTTTGCCCCAGATCTAAGGAGCTCCAACTTCCATTCCTTCTTCGGAGAGGAAGAGAGAAGAGTGACGTCATCGCCAGAATGGCTGCCGACTTCCCCGGTCCGAGCTCAAACTGCGGTGGAACGTTTATTTCTATTGCCGAGTAAACATGCACCGTTCAGGCCCAGCCCAATAAAATCTAAAATTAGGCCTCATCTTAGATCCGGTGCAGTTTGGGCTGAACCGTATGTGCGAAGGCACGAAAGAAAGAAGCCGAAAAGATGAGGCAATAGGGGCCCTGCATCAGTGTCCAGCAACATGCTCTCTTGTCAAGGGACGCTGTTTGCACAGCCCATGACAGCAGATAATGAGAGGAGGCCGTCCGTTTGGGGACGGATGCGCGCATGCGCGAGAAACACGAAGAGCTCTATGAGGGCCAGCGCCAGGCAATTTCGTCGATAGCGAAAAAGGGAACTCCGGTCGGTAGAAGTGTCTATTGAGCGCGCTTCCGCCCCCAGAAGGCTCACGCGTTGGTGGGAGCCTCAATATCCTGAACTCCTCTTTGCCGTTGGAGAACCACCGACAAGTGCCCACTTTTTTGGCGTTTTTGTCCGATGAGTGTCGCAAACTGGGCAGTAGGCCAGGATGCCAATTAACGAATAACTTGGAACTAATCCTGTTGCTTGGCGTTCCTTGTAGACATCCACGTGCATAGGTCTTTAGGCCGAGCTAGTTGCTATAAGGCCCTTCAAGTTGCCAGACATCATTAAAAGTTATGTTTAGATGCAGTTTTTTTGTGTGGATTCATTCTTTGGATCATTAATTTTGACTTACGAATCATTTCTCACCGTGCATATCGGATGGCTAAACTTACCTCTTTCTTTTGGACGCTATATATAGCTGCAACGACGTCAGTCTCGGAATGAAGTTAAAGGTATAAAAAAATAGTTGGGGGAAATATCGTAGGGATGATTTTCGCACTGTTCTGTTACTGGTCAGAAGTGGAAAAGCGGAATTAGACTTGAAAATCTTACCAATATTGGATTTGATTCCTCACTTCTCTGCATAGAAGCGGCTTTTTTTTTCAAAGAGCAAGAGCTCAACTACATAATCTTGCGCCTAAACATATTCGTTGCATATTATGTGAGGGCATCTCCGTATCGCATGGGGGAGGCTTCACTTCTCTCAGAATATCAGAGCCCAAGAAACCTCGAAAGCGTCTTGTACCGAACATTCTCTCCAGGGCTTTCGAGGGCTTCATTTTTTAGCCTCTTAATGGCTTGAGTTTGATTAATGCTTTTAGGATGGATTCGCAATATTTTCGCAGATATTGATAAGCAAAGAAACAATTCGTCAATGTCATACGGCTGGGTTGTCGACTGTCAAAGATATCCGCCCGCCCTACGACAAATTAGCTGCACGGTGGGCAAGGACCTCCAGTCAAGGGCGTTTCAAAGCATCTCCACCCATTTCTTGAAGGGGCGGGTGAGGAGGGGAGGAGGAGGGGGGTGGGGAGGGAGAAGAATGTATTAATGGTCATACTTTTCGTTGTTGGGTACATATTGAACACCCGGAGAGACTTTCTCATCGAGGTCCGCCGGAAGAGTTTCAAAGTTGGCACGGCCCGAATTTTCCCTTTTTCCCATGGACGTCAACGTAGAATCGACCTCTGGATTTCTCTGGATTTTCAACGTTCAAGCAATATCTTGTTTAAGCATGTACCGACCCTCCCGGTGTCCCCACACCTCGCGCTGTCGTTGCAGTGCAGAAGTGAATTATTTCTTGAAAGAGAAACAGATTCTGCCTCTGATATAATTAAATTATTTAAGGAAACCCAGGCACGTTGATTAATGGTGAAGGTCCACTCCACCAGAGTACGTCTGCGCCATTTCCAGGCCCCTATAGGCTTCTCGCATAGAAAGGGTCTTCATCTGCAGTCATTCAGAAATGAATGCCTTTCGTTGCACTGGTGGAGGGAAAGACTAAAGGGGAAGACTAGACTTATGAAGTTGCCTCAGCTAGAAATACCATAAGACGGGAAGAGCCTTCAGCAGGTGATGCAGGCAATGCATGAATTCCATACGATGCGTGCATGACTTGGAGATAACTCTGACTGTTGCGAGCTTCCATTCACTCAATGTAACAAGAAACCCAGGTTAAGCACTCATTCCCCAACAGCGCGCCCATCAAAAGCGAATCCAAGAATATGGGGGTCCCAGATGGAGTTTTGTTGTATCTAAAATCGAAGGTAAATCACAGTAAATCGGAGACGCTCTCACACTCCAGACCCACCCAAAGGTAAAATAATGAGCTCCACGAGGATGCTATGTTTGTTCCATTTTCACTATCGATTGCTATGCGATCTGGGCCAAGAATTTCAGGTTTCTCAGCTCCGAACTGATGAATACCTCCGCATTACTGAGAGTGAGCGAAGGGTATTCCGTTTTCTAAATACCATCCAAGGACTTAGTCGTAACTGCTTGGTTAGTAGCCCGACCAAGCCCTCTGAGTGAGAGTTCGAACCGTTGTTGTGTCGAGATTTAGGGCAGGATCCATGGATAAAGGTCAAAATGGCGCAGGCTTCTGCGTTAATGTTTTAGAGATCCCACTGGTTTGCGTCAGTCCTTGGCGCACTGCCAGGTTCATGCGAGCCGATATCGAAGGCTCTTTGCAGAAAGAGCGTCTCCATTTGTTGAGAGTCAACATTTAATTACTGCAGCTGGGGGGGGGGGGGGGGGGGGGGTGGGGGAAAAACCACGGGTGGATTTTTTAACAGAGCACTATCCGATAATGCTGCTTTATTTCCAGGAAATATAATGTACAGTATTTTCCCTGGAATAAAGCTTCAGTATCGGTTAGTTCTCTGTTCAAAAATCCACCCTAAGTTTCTTATAACATTGACTCTTTCCAAGACAGTGACACCTTTAGGTGATTGGCGATGCGAAGGTTAGATAGGAGAGAGAATGTCCGTCTAAAGAGATTCAGTTAGTTTGCTACCTCCTATTGTACAGGTGGGAAACGACAGGCATGGGCTTTTTATAGCATCGACTCTAAGAGAAGCCTAACCCGACTGGTAGCCATGTATGGGCAATGCAGAGGTCTACAGAGCCTATCGAAGGGTCGTACTATTAGCGCTATTAAGCTTTATAACAACAGGCCTGGGACAGGACAAAATTAACAACCTTGAGAGACAAAGGGGACAGAATTTGAGGGTGAGGGGGAGGGAAGGCCAAAAGGGATCCGTGTTCAGACAAGGTGGTAGAGGGAGATGCCGAAAATAGAACACCTCCTCCTCTGCTCCTATATACCTCCCTTCCTTCTGTCCCACATACACACATTTTCCTCACCGGCATTCCCCTCTCTTTCACCTTTCCCTCCTTCTCTTTTCCTTCTTTCTTTCTCACCTGCCCTCCTTTCCTCTTTTCCTCCACCCACGTGACTATCCTCTTTCACCGGAATCACCGCTTCCACCGTATAAATCCACCCTTTCTGTAGCTCAGGCGAAATATAACCTACATATTCATTAGTTGGCTGAGTTAGTTCAGTCCTGTAATTATGGCCGATAGCTATCCACGCTAAAGATCGTATGCGTATTTTTTGTCATTCCAGAATTTGCTGATTCATCGTCTTTGAAAGACACCCGCCGTTTCCAAGATGGGAGACGAGTGAGTTACAGTCCATTTTTTCAATATATACACCTCATGTTTTCAAGTCATCGCGTTTGAGTGTCTCACGAACATGCGAAATGAATTTTTTTTTTCCGCAGGGACGAGGTGAGAAGCGACATCTTACATCTCCCACCTTCTCGACTGCACCTTCTTGCATGCTGCACGTAGTCTTCTTTTTCTTTAATCTCCTGCATGCAAACGACATGCTCGCCATACCTCGTGATATACACTACTCGAACCCCTACCAAGCGTTGTCGTGACACTTTTACACGTCCCCATCATTATTATCGTATACGCTGCTTCAAACCAGCGACAGAACTGGAGGACTAATCAAATGTGGAATCTCTCGCGTAATTTTAACACTCTCACTCTTCTGATCTGTTTAATTTATTTCAAACTATCTCGTATTGGAAATTGGGATCTTTCCGCTCTTCAACCTAACATCGTCGCCCAAGCCTCACGTTGCCAGTCTTGCCTTCGTATTTTTGTATCCTCTAAACACCGTACTCTTGTCTCTTTTTGCTGACACGTACTCCACATGTACTCTTTGACATGTACTCTTTCTACATGTTATCTTTGATGTGTACTCATTCGTTTTCTAACCATGTTAACTGAATTGACATTCGATGGATTGTTGTTCAACCGATCATGCAAATGTCATCATTCAGCCACTGGTCTTTCATTCTCACTCATTCATTCAGTAAAAAAAAAACATCTAAGCAGACCAGCAGATGAGAAACACATGCACAGATTTGGAATGCTGATCTTAGCCCGGTTTTCGTGTGTGTTTGTCTTCCATTGCAGAGGACGAGAGTGGAGGAGGCACGTATCAGAGCTGAGGAAGTACGTCCACCCCGAACTAACCGCATGTTTCCTCTAATTCCTCCAACTCCTCCACCTGCTTTTTAAAAATTTCTTTTGTACAGATATATTTATTTCACCATGAAGCTATTTTTTGTACGTTCTGCTAATTATCCACAGCATTCGTTGCTTTTTCAGGACGCGCTTAAAATCTCATTTTTGCGTGGTCATTTTTTTCAAATTCGGTTCCATAATTTTTTCTCGAGGCATTAGTTATTTATTTTGTATCATTTTATTTGCTAAAGTATCGTATCAGTTTCGTCCTTGCTTTTCGGTACTGAATTGATCGATTGTGGTTTTGTTCTTGTTAAAACAAAACTGAGTTGTAGCAGACGTCTCGTGTAAAACATGCAAGTTACACAAAGTTGATCGTTTGATTTTGTGATTGAGCTGGGTTCCAGAGGAGTCAGAGGATGGGATCTCGTTCCACGAGGTAACCCGAGGAATATCTCCAACCCCCTGTCGGTAGACGTAATCTTAGCACATAGGCTATGACACATGTTCCACCCCGAACACCGCAAAGACTCCTTTGCCCTGCTGACGTGTGTGAGAAGTGTTCCCCGGTCGAGGCTTTCCAATAACGCCTTCGTGCCGTATGACGTCCCTCACTGCAGTTGCATTCCAACACAGAGACACATGCAGACTTTCAGCAGATTCAAGACGAACTCAAGTCTTAGAAGGGCCTGTGACTGCACTGACCGAGACGTCAAGTTCTCCTGTCTTATTTTCCATTCCGTAGATGCATGCGATCTCGTGACGTAGATATAACTGTTTTCGTTGTGGGTGCTTTCTTTTGCTTCTCGTTTCTGTTCAATGATTGACTCGCCAATTTTTTTTTCGTGATTTTCGTCTCTACCTGTGAGTCGTTCTCTCTTCTCAACTTCATCAAGCTGAATTAAAAATTTGAGGAAATTCACTCGAGTAATGGTAAACCTCTCGGTGATGTACCTTGAAATTCATTATAATACGTAATCAATATATGATATTATCAATAATGATAATAATAAATTGCTGCAAAAAATTCTGAGATAGTAATCGATAAATAATATTCCTAATAATCACTCACGTGTGAACGGACGATAACGCCATGTGTGGGACGACTGCAGGAACGAAAGAGGAAGCAGTCGGAGATCGATCGGAAGAAGGCGGAGGTGCGAAAGAGGCTCGAGGAAGCCTCTAAGGCCAAGCAGAAGGCCAAGAAGGGGTTCATGACCCCCGAGAGAAAGAAGAAACTTAGGGTGAGTCCTCTCCGCGTAACTCATTTGCAAAGGTGATCAAAGTTCTAATGAGGCAATTAGACCAAAAAGCCTATTACTTTTCCATCAATTCTACTTCTCTGAAACTTGCATTTTCCTTTTCCTCGGATCATTATAATGTGAGTGAATTATCTCGCTGATTGAAGCAATAAAATCTGATAGATTCAATTCGTAGCTTTCCAAATGAAAAATAGACGTTTGTAAGAAATGGAGAAGGAATTTTCTTTTCGTGCTTTTGCTCGGGTTAATTTATTGCCAAATTTTCCCTTCCTTGAAATTTTGAGAATACTGGATTACTTTTGCCATTCAATAACTGGAAACGAATTCAGAAATATAATGAAGGCCTGCGGCTAAAAAAAAAAAGATTTGGCATTTGAGAACTTGGAAGGCAAACCGCTCGCCGCTCTCGTCGGAGACAAGCCTGACCAAGGCCCTCGATCCTCGTGACAGCTTTTGCTGAGAAAGAAGGCAGCCGAGGAGCTGAAAAAGGAGCAGGAGAGAAAAGCGGCCGAGAGGCGAAGGATCATCGAGGAGAGATGCGGCCACGCCAAGAAACTCGACGGTGCCAACGAAGGTAATGGCAAAGAGAAAATTTTGTCACATCGATGGAGGATAAGAACGGCTGGTGATGACATTACGTGTGAACATACTACGAGCCCGTCTCTGTTCGAGGATTCCCTTCCTTTTTTATTTTTATTTTTATTTTTTACACATTTTTGACGACGGACGTGAAAGATAAGTCATGCCCTCCTGATACCAGACCCAGTAATATATATTTTTTTTTTCTTAGAATGTATAACTTTTTGCAATACGACAATGGAAAGTTCGCAGAGATGTTTAGGTCACAGCAAAGAGAATGAGGGGTGAAATATCAGAGGTAATACCTCTCCAATTGTTGCGGGTAAAATCACTCTAGAATCACTCCACTGCAATTCATTTGGTAAACGTTTCCATTTTTTCCTCGGCTGAAACTCTCAGGTTGGAAATTTAGAGAATGAGAGGGGAAAAGAGGGAAATTCAAGGGGAATCTGGTCGCAGTGAGTGTGCATTCGATTTGTGAATTGATATTGATGAGTGGATTGTTGTTTAGTGTTCCTCAAGCAAGTCCTGCGTGAGTATCACCAACGAATTAGCAAACTGGAGAGTGATAAGTGGGATCTGGAATGGGCTATCCGCGTCAAGGACCACGAGGTATTTCCATATTTGACAAAAACCGAAAAACACACCCGTGTATTGGCTATAGGCACTCTGGTGTCACCGTTAACCACTTCTGCAAGGGTCTTGACTCCGTGGGGAATGCATTCTCCTCCCTCACAACTTATCACACACTAATATGCTTCCATTCCAGGCTCGTTATGATCATGCTTTCTTTCTTTGCTCCTCTCTCATGCTTACGTGTTCAGACGAGCTAAGGGAGATCATCACGATGTACTTTAATCGGGTGTACGGACTGGAAGGAGATAAGATTGATCTGGAGTGGCTCGTTGCCAAAAGAGATTACGAGGTTTGTTCACCTCCAACTCGTGTAATGAAAAAAGAAATCGCTGAATGGCCCGTTTCCCCAAAAGGCAAATGCAAAGCGTGAAAAAGCGTCTGCTTAGTGCACATATAAGAGAATCTTCCGTGCATCACCGGCCTGTGCCTTGGAACCTCGAACTTTTCTCTGTATAATGGATGTGAGAATGCAGGTCTCTCGAATGTATGTGTCATGGTTTTTCTTCCCTGCCCATGTTTTAAATTCCCGTCTCGTCGACTTGTTTCCCTCACTTAAATATCATCTTTTCAATGTAAGGCAATATATACGTACCTGCATAATAATATAATTTATGCTTGAATACTTTTTTGATATGAAAGAGAGGGAGCCAGGGCGAAGACGTGGCACTTCTTCAGAACGACTTTCATTTTCTATCTTTTCCCCCATCACCTTTTTTCCACCCTGCTCTGACCTTGCCAAATAATGATTTTGTAATGAACATCTCCCTTTTTCCATTTGTAGCCGAACTCCAAACGATATTGAAGCAATATCATGCCAGAATCGCAGCCCTAGAGAGTGATAAGTACGATCTTGAGTATGTGTGTAAAAGGAAGGATCACCAGGTAAATTCCATCCTCCCATTGTGAATGTCTCTTTTCTCATTCACTGTTGGAATAGAACCGTTTTTCCTTGGTCATTATAGTCTGGTTGACTGGGCAATAGGCACATATTTATCACGATTTTCTGGAAGACTAACCCCAAAAAAGCAGGAGATGGGGTTTTCCTCTTTCACTCCCGGAAAAAAAACCTAAGTAAAAAAAAAGTCTAAAACACAGGGAAACGCCATCTCCAGTTTCTTCCAAAGGTTGCTTCCAGTTCCTGGGGAAAAGAGAAAAAATTAGACGAGAGCAAGACGCTGGCAAAACAAAAGAGAGAAAATGTTCGATTATCACACGCGATCCGATCTATTTTCTCTCTTTGATAATCCCCATTTGTTTGAATGGGACTTTTGTTTTGGCTTCTTCTTTATAGATGAGCTAAGGGACATCTGTAAGGAATATTATGACCGCATTCTCAAGTGCGAAGCACACAAATGGGACTTAGAGTGGGAAGTGCGAAAGAGAGAATTTGAGGTAGAGTTATGATTTTTCCATGTGTTTGAGTGCTTTTCTTTCTCTTTCTTCTGCTTAGGTCTACTTCTTGCCACTTCCTCTTCCTCTTGTTTTCTTCCTCTGATATCTAGAGAGAAAGGGCCCTGCACGACAAGCTTAGGCCAGATGTAGGAGTTTCCGAAACGTTTTCCCTCTCATTCATTTCATGCCTAGACTTCTCTTAGAGGAGGTATATCTTACGTTTTCCCGCACTGACGTAGATCGTAGGTGATCGGGTGTGTGAAGTGCTGTATTCACCATCGAGGGAAAGCCACGGATGGGTGGAACTTGTCTTTCAAGTCGAGGAAGCCAAAGCTGCCTTTTTCTCATGCAGATGCCAGTGGTCGATCTGAAATCAATCAAGGAAATGCACTGATTGATTGATTGCATGCACCCTTTTCCTCCCCTCTGGCAGCAACTTTGAGGAACCCAATTAAGACTTCTCTTAGATTCGGTTAGGATTGAATCCTCTCAAAATCCATCCAAATCCAAGGTGAACTGGTATGGCACTTCATGCATGTCCTGTAGCTTTTTTTCCTCATCCTAAGTTTATTTTTTTCCGTTCTTATTCTGTATTATGCAACCCGTTGCACTGATTCGATTCTGTTGGTTATCCCACTCTCAGTTCGGTCAAAGGAGAAGGGGAAGAAGGAAAAAAAGGAGAAATACGGAAGGGAATTACACAAGTGCCATACCAAAGAAGCAACCTTTGGATTCCTTTGCTCTTTCTCTTGCATTCTGCAGTATCATTTCCTGTCACCTCTCTCTATACCTCTCTTTCTTTGTATCTGTCTTATCGGATCACTAATCCTCTAATTTACTTCTCTGCCCTGCACGTGAGAGGAGTTTCTTCGAAATTTTCCGCCCATTTGCTGCCAGAGGCTGGTGTAAATGCGGTGACTCAGCAAACGTAAACAAAAAACGTAATTTTATCAAATCCTTGGCTTTCTAGTAGTCTTCATAACACAGAATCAACAGAGGAATGCAGCGGGAAAAGCAACAATCGGTGAGATCCAGGCAAACCATAACGTCAGGGGAGGAGGGAAAAAAATTGCTCATTCAACCAGAAACCCTCCGGAAAAGCAAGGGGATAGCCTCTGGAAATAAAACGAGAAGCGAAATGGACACAATGGGCAGTAATGCGCTGTAAGTACAATGCAAAGCAGAGCTGGGTGTGGCATGGAAATTGTGACCAACCAACAACGCAAGAATGGAAAAACCATACCTTGCTTCTTCACGACGACTATCCTCCATCCTTTTTTGCATGTTCCCGCTTCTGCATGTCCATGCATTCCTCTCGTTATTTTGCCTGTTTTTTCCTATTCTCTTTCATATTAGCATGCATTGATAGAGTCTTGAGGGGGTCATCCTGGAGGTCCAGTTCCTCGCCCTAATTGCACTTTTTTTTATAACTATACAGTGCCTTTGCTGCACTTCAGGATCACCCCATGCTCTGTTTTTGTTTATGCTTATTCAAGATTGGAACGAGATTCAAGGAATCCAAAATATATAGGAAAAACAAATATCTGAATGAGTCTGATGATGAAATGAAAAAAAACTCAAGCAAGGAATCACATTTTAATTAAGCCTAATTCATTGCGATTGTCGTGGGGAAGTGAAAGTAACGCACAGTGAGCTGATTTTAAACAAGAGAAAAATTGCGAAAAAGTAAAGAACTTGTCACCTTGAAGATACAGAATTCCTTGAATTCCGAGCAGAACCAGATGCATAATCAATTGGTATAAGGATCCAATTTCCGCTATAACGGCATTGGAGATCCCATATCAATAAAGACTGTATCTTTATGGTCACCAGCCATCATGGCAATTCATGAGAAAAATTTTCTGTTTCCCCAAGCAATCGTATATGGAATCTCCCTAATACTAATATATATTTTTGGAATTTTGGATAAATTACATGGTCCTTTCATTCCACAAATCTCAAGGCGAATTCTAATGCGAGCCTTTCTGTTCCCCTATGCTGCAGATCAACGAATTGAACATGCAGGTCAACGACCTCCGAGGGAAATTGTGAGTTTTCCCCCATCAGTCTAAGCGATGTCACGAAAAATCGAAATTTTCATAGGATTTCCATTGCATGCGCCCGTCTGCATGACACCGGGAACCCCCTCCATGGGATCTGACCGAATTCTCTTGAAACCCTGTCTCCAGCTTGAAGCCGACCCTGAAGAAGGTGTCGAAATACGAGAACAAGTTCGCCAAGCTGCAGAAGAAGGCCGCCGAGTTCAACTTCAGAAACCAACTGAAGCAGGTGAAGAAGAAGGAGTTCCTTATGGAAGAAGAAGAGAAGGAGGTTCGTCCAAATCCATCCTTTTTCACCCTGAATCAGTTAAGGTCCTCAAAACGGAACTTTTTATCCCCGCTTTCTGCAGAGGAAGACAAAAGAAGAATTCCAGCTGAAGAAGCGGGAGGACAAGGGGAAGGAGGTGGAAGCCACCGAAGAGTGAACAAAAACTTTACTCGAGGATTTTTGCTCTATACCCCATCTCACCTCAAGCTGGGGACAAATTATTATCATTTATTATCATTATTATGTCACGTTATCCCTCTCAGACCTATCGAGCAGCAATTTACGAATCTTGTGTCATTTTCTTTCTTTCTCTTTTTTGCTTCCGGATCCCCATGTGCCTTCTCCATGCAAGTGCCCGAGTTCTTTGGTGGAATACTTGCAAATAAAAGTGGTCGCTAACACAACCAACTCGTTTTCTTTGGCCCTTGGGATCCTTTCAGAGACCAGAAGCGGAAATCCATTCGTTACTTTCTCTTCGACGAGGATATGAGAAAATGGAGCTGCGAGACGAGATAATAACTTTTCAGCAACTATTTCAAAATCGTCAGATTTGGCAGCTGGTAAATTTATCTGTAAAAAGCCGTTTGCACAAATTGACGGCGATTTATCTAGCCAATTGGCCTGCTACACCAATTCGGCACCAAATAGCAATACATTTTTGCCTTTCAGAATCTGGCGGTTGTTATTCGGGAAATCCGAGATTTTACGACCCTAGTTTCCTTTTTGCCAAATCCAAGCATCACTCGAAAACCATGGGGTCCGAGCACGGGGTGTGCTAAACCTGGTGGCGATGGGAAAACTTACAAAAACTTTACACGTTCAAGCTCCTGCCAAAGCAAAATTACTACCTGTGGTATTATAGGCAAATGATGCAGCAATCGGGCCCAGAAATGATTCTAGATTCTGGTCAACTGCAATCCAACGAAGAAAGCCGAGAGAGAGAGAGGGGGAGAGAGAGAGAGAGTTCGCAGCAGGGCTGTACGACGCACTTCTTATTTATACAGAATACTTGGTATATACAGAAGAAGCTGCGCACAAATGTAATACTGCCTGTGGTGTCAGGTTCGCTCCGAATGCGCGAGTCGAAGAGAAGCCCTGGCAAAAATAAAACTCGCTCGTTCGACCTGACGGAATAAATGCATGAATGAAAGAAGAAAAAACCGTTCGGCAAAATACATCGCGACTACGAGAAAAGATACTCGGGAGAAACGGGAGCATGGCCATAGTTAGTTGTAGCAAAAAGGGAAGCCCCGATGGACTCAAACGGGACAAGAGAGAGATGGGGCCGGACGTCGGTCGAACGAACGAACAAATCTGATGGCAACTTTCCAATCATCGACGTGATCGAATCCGTTCGAGAAGGATCAGTAAGATAGCTGAATACGCAAGAGAAGGGCATTCGTAACGGACCCCTGTTCAAAGGAATTAGTCTTGTCTTCGTAGACGCCCACAATGAACTGAAATTAGCTTCCGGTTGAACCGGTCTTGTTCATTTGATTTAATACGGGAGGCTCCCTCTCCGCCTGAGCCGCGTCCAAACGAAGTCAAAATCATGTGAATTCGACTCACGGTTCAAATAATCAGTCATAATAATGTATCTCGCGTCGCGAAGGAACCGCCAGAACGAGAAGACGAACGGAACGATGCCCCGGAGAGACGCGAAAAGCAGCGAGAGCAAATCCGTTCGGGCGATCGGAGGGAAAAAGACGGATGAGAGACGGCCGATAGACGTGCAGATGGTGCCGGTTCGACCGCTGAGACTCGGGAACGGCCGGAGACCGGACATCTACGTGTGCACGAAAACGATGGAACCGAGAGGCGAGACCGACGAAGGGAGAAACCCGCCTCGTCGAGGTCGAAAGCCAGACTACCCGTGTGTACGCGCCGCCCGAGCGAGACGAAACCTCCTCCGTCCTGTCGGTCTCTCCCCCGCATCCGCCCGTGACGCGACGGACAGGAACGCGAACGCCTCGAAGAGCGTCTCGTGGTCCTCGCCCGAGACCAGAAAGAAGGAGGTCGTGGAGGATCTCGCGTCTCTCTCGTCTTCGTCTCCTCGCCCCGTCGGATCCCGACAGAAACACGAGCTAATTCCAATATGGAAGGAGGGGAAGACCAGGGAAGCCCCACTGCTTGCCCCATCGGATGCCCCACTGCCTGCCCCACCGGATGCCATCGTCTTCCACCTCGACCGGGAACCAGACGAACGGCTGGGTCGACTCCACTTAGAGTCCGCCGATGAACCCGTTCATCACCACGTGAGTACCGTAGAAATGCTTCTTGAAACTGTTCGAGTATCTACGAATCCTTTTTTAGTGGGCCTCTTTTTCCGAAAGGAAGGAGACCACTTAGAGTCCCGTCCTGTCTGTCCGTGTGCCACACTTTGATTTTCCGACGATAACTAAAAAAATATTGACCTTACCGATGCGAAAATTGGCAAGCAGGTAGATATTAACAAGATACGGCCTGAGTTCGTTTCGTGGCGAATTCGCACAAAAATTGGAATTTTTATAGTAAATTTTGGAATTGAAATTCGGCGAGGGAGGGGAAGGCACTCGTACCCGTTCGCCCTTCCGGATCTGGATCACAATGCGCATGCGCGTACGACCTCGGCCTTGGGCACGTTGCCGCGTCAGCGACCAGAGCCGTCAGTTCCCTACCAACCTTCGTGGCGGACGGTTCCAAGCACGCACGACCCTCCATCCTCCCATCTTCATTCCATGGGTAGATTTTCGAACGTAACCGAAAAATGACGTTTTTGATGGCCGGGGACCGGAAAGAGATGGCATTCTGTTCGATTGGACGACAAAATGCGGGTCTCCTTAATCGAAAGGAGGCCCACTACTGGACTGGGCTTCCCCATCTCGTATTTTAACGCAGTCAGGTCGGCCCCATACATCGGTGGCCCAAGCCGTCTTTTACAGTGGATCGGCGCCGTACACTGATGGCGCGCTGCTCGCCTTCGCTTCTCTGAGTAGCGCCAAATAACGCTCGCATAATTTATTCGTGTAGGCCTATTATAGCCATCCGCAGGGAAGGCAAGTAGGCTCAGACACAGCCCAGATGTCGTCTTGGGGATCGGCGATGGGGTGTCGATCAACGATTCGGGTCCTTCACAAATCTTCATTTTTAACTTTTGTTCGCGTTAAAAATTTTTTTTGCATTTGATTTAGCGTTCCATATATATATTTAATCTTCATATGCTTTGCTTTCTTAGTTTATTGATGTATTTGTTACGATACCATATTTTATTGGAAAAAGTCGCAGTGCGTTGGCAGATTTCAAGGGAATAATACCGGAATTGCATGCATCACTTTAAGATAAATCGGCAACCGAAAGAGCAAATAACGCAAGATAACGTCACAAGCAAACCCCCGCGAAGGATCCCGCCAAAAAAAAGCGCCGACGACGTTACATGCGGTCGAGTGAGCGCCTGCATTACACCGAGTGTGCCATTCAAAACCTGCATCGCCGCCCTCAACGCCGACAGAAAATGCCTCACCCCCCAGGAACACCGGAAGTGGCATGGCGTCGAGCAGGCGGTATTCGCGACGGAAGAAAAGACCTTGACGAACACGTAGGCGGACACGCGATGAGCACAGAGCCCGTGTCGCATTCCACTCGCGTCCGTTTTGGCGGGCCGCCTGTGGTACCGCCCCGCATGTTATTGTGTGTGTGTGGCGGGGGGGGGGGGGGGGGGGGGGGGC